ACAAATGCTTGGCAAAAAGAGACAAATGCAGTCACAATATTAGATTCTGAGTTTCTGAGTCAAAGCTTGGAAACAGGTGAGATCCCCATCCCATAACCATACATAAAATTGCTGGGCATGAAAAATCTAATATAGCTATGCTACAAAGATTGGCCTTGGGGTCTGGCATATTCCCTTGATCTCATTTGGAGAATAGTTTGCCATAATTGCTTAGGAATCCAGGTGAGCGATACAGGCCCTCTGGGCCTCTTGTTTTCAACATCATACTCAGTTTTAGCTTGTGTTGTACTTATTGTATTCAGTTTCACAGTTAACGTAGCTCGAACGGTAGGATCTAAAGAGCCGTAGGATTATTTATCGCCTGCTTGATCAAAACTGTATTAATCATGTAAAGGATATGAAAAATCGTCAGTCGTTAAGAATCCGGACATTGATATCTCCGCCTTCGTTCGATATTTATAATTACCCTGTAAACTTCCTGTTTTGGAGATGGATCCAAGGTACCCGTGTAAACAAGTGTCCTGTCGATAGAAGTCCAGTCTGTCCTTGCCGCGTCGATATTGGAGGTTCGCATGGTGAGTGTAAGGAACGAAGGTGGTATTGATACGTACACTTCTGTCAATTACACAAACAATGTTTGGTTATATCTGTAAGAGCGAAGCTTTTGTTGATCTCTGATATTTACTGATTTAGAATGAGATAATACAGCTTTTAGAATGAAGCAAGATAAAATTTATTTAAATTCGGCTAGTCGAGTGATAACAATAAAACATAAACTCTAATGAGATTAAGACCGACATAACAATAGGGGAGATCGGGGCAAATTCGGCCAATTTTTATTAAAGTCCATTCTGGCAAGTATGGCAGCACGTCCGTTTTTGAACATTATTTAAGTTTTACCTGTCGGCATTCGTGTAAGTTCGGCCCCATTGGAATCAGCTTAATTATGACCTTATAAAGCATGCAACGTCAGATTTTAATGCCAATTTTTCGACTTTTTATGTGTTAAATGGGCCGAACTTACCACGGTATCATTGGCTGAAACTGTCCGGGCCCAAATTGATATTTAAATAAATTCGTATCGTACAGCAATATGGTAGACAGTGTTTGTCTTTGCTTTTATGTCCATGTATATCATTTGAAGCTGTCAGTGTATTACACGTTTGACCGTATATTTTTTAGCGAAAGTTCGCATCACTAGAAGCGAGATCATGATTTTCTTTCTCAAAAGTAAGTTGTTTACTAATTTTACATCAGAGTTTTCCTTGCCATTTTTTCATGTGAATGCATAGCCAACTAAACTGCTAAGATCTTTAAAGTTGTAAATATTAGCTCAAAAACAAAAATATCAGGGGTGGCCCAACTTTCCCCGGTCTCCCACATGTAGATTTTTTGCATCGTTGATGATTGGTAACAATGTATACACAATTTAATTTTTGCATCAATGACGCCATTTTCATAGCTAAAGCAGATAGTTGTTCTTGTGTGTAACGCATATGATGGGTCGGTCGGCGCAGTGGATAGCGCGCTCGTCTTCACCAAGATGACCGGATTCAATCCCGGTTACCTGCCCGACCACGCGGTCTTTGCTTCAAGGATACATATTCGGTTTCCCCACTGGAGGGCTACTTCCGGACAAAAAAAAACCCCCAAGGTGTACAGTAGAAAGGGGAAGCAACTCTATGTGTTACCATTAAAGAGCTTGGGCGCCCGAGAGCTACGCTCTTATTACAGTTTTACATGTATCGTCTAGTCATATGTTTCCGCGCGTTATGTATTTCCTCGCAAGCTATATCTCGAAAGTAGGTGACCTGCTGTTTGCAGTACAAGGTTTATATTTCATTGCAAACACTGTTTATCGATATAAGAATGTCTCCTTATGCACTTTTTATCTTGCTCAAAATGAACCCATACCTGAAAAAACGGTGATTTATTTCATTCATGAACCGGTCTCTTTTGTAGTCTGACAAACGCACGAAAACGTCGTATGCAAATGAGATCACATCTCCTCGCCGATTCTTTTCCACTTCCGAAGAGCCAAGGAGACATTCTTATATCGATATACAGTGTTTGCAATGAAATACAAACCTTGTACTGCAGTGAAATTCCAATTTTCACCAATTTTAAACAGAATAAAATGAGAAATAACTCCCATCAACCAAAACTGATATAAGACTGCACAAAAACCCCAATAACAGATTAAATCATAACTAAATAAGTAAAATAAACAAATTCATAAAACTACATGTATTCGTTCAGGTTGACATATTGAAAAATCAATGAAAAATGTGAAATTCTTAAAAATTTGTTTTGATAATAAATTTGACGATCAAAGATATTTGTTTTATACCAAACTAAGCTTTTTTTGCCGGTAGGCTACTATGGGGAATTTATTTTTATTGTATTCGAGTTATCTTTCTTTGGACACTAAATCAAAATAGACACACGGAAACATATGACTGCTATATATTTCCGACGGGAGAAATTTGTTAAAAATTGTTTGTTCTGATTTTTTTAAGATACGGTTTGATGTTGCTAGTTTTTTGTTTCCATTAGTAGATTGTATACATGTGTATGCTACAAACTTTCGCTGTACTAGATATATACAAAATGAAAGTATAACTTCTAGAATTTAAAACATGTTTAAATACGACTATCTGTTTGTGCTGATAGTGTTGGTGGGCTGGGATTGTGAAGTACGTAAACAATATGCTGTGATTGTCAAGCTTGGTCTACCCCTTTCATTTTTCTCCGGGTACAATAAACAATCAGAGCAGAACATTATTCCAAACGATTAGTATGTAAATGGACTTTGACACGAAGATACAAATTTAGATAAATCTTTAGCGTTATGTTGAATGAAATGTGTCGCGGCCATTTAAATCACACACGTGGAAGTGTTTATCTATACAAGTAAAATTCCTCGACACTGAGAAACCCCCCAGATAGGTCTCTGGATCCGCCACTGCGTTCCTATAAATGTTATTGTCCGGTCCTCCCGTAAATAGTATCCACCCTCCCACGAATATAGTGTCCTGTTCTCGCGCAGTAATTAGTGTCTTGTCCTCCCAGACAAAATAGTGTCCCCCTTCCTCAAATAAATTGTCCTGTTCCGTCAAAAAGACAAAAGAAATAAAAACATATACAGTTTCACAACACACAACACGCACATCATTTAAAAATAAAATCTTAGAATACCGAACAGGGAGATTATAAAACGTTAATCATATTAAAGCAGAACAAAAGCAAATTTGAGACTTCATAACAAATATAATGTGTGTACGTCTAGAAATTAATGTTTTAATATCAATAGAGTACAGAACAATGAGCCAGCTATTTAATGTCTTAACCGTTTTATAGTATATTTGTGTGAAATCCATCAAATCATTATCGTACATCTTTCCTTTTCAGCCAAGTGTTAATCTGCCCTAGCTGTTACTATGGCTGAAGGCGGCCCCTCTCCAGAACTGGACGAACACTTGCTGGAGTGTCCAATATGTCTGGAGCGACTTCGACAACCCAAGTCCTTACCCTGCCTCCACTGCTTCTGTCAAGAATGTCTCGGGATCTACATCACCAATGCGTCGACAACGGCATTCCCCTGGCCTGTCTGTAGGAGGATGACTCAGCCCCCCGCCAATCAAACGGAAGCTAAGGACAAATGGGCAGAACAGTTCCCGACTAATGCTGAAATCCAGAAGCTTATCCCGCTCAGGGAACGTTCGTCTGAACCACTGTACTGCAAACCCTGCCAGACAAGAGGTGACCTGACAAATCCAGCGAAATTCTGGTGCAAGTTAATGAACTTGAATTTGTGCGAAACGTGTAAGGTACAACATCATGATGTCTTACATAATGAATGTGATATCTTAGATATCACCAGGTATGATAGTAGGAAGACAAAACAGGAACAGTCAGTCCCTAAATGTGACCAACACGACGAGACATTGATTTGGTACTGTGAAGACCACAAACGTCTCGGATGCCACATATGTAGGAACAAAGACCATGTGAGAAGGTGACAACGGCAATGGAATATTTACAGAAGATAAAAGCCGGTTCACAACTAGACGAGATGGAGATGGCACTGAAGAAAGGAGCACAGGCCATGACGTCATTGGTGAAGGATTTTGACGAGCAGATCCAAACTATGGTCCAAAATCAGGAAATCGCACTGCAAAGCATCAAAGATCTGCGCCAAAGTGTCGAGGAACAGCTGAACAAACTTCAAAAGGACGTCACTGATAAGTTAATAACATTGTTTAAAGAGGAGAAGGGGAATATGGAGGCTTCGTCACGACAATGTGAACGTCTGATGAACAGTATTCTAAATACACTGAAGTCGTCCGTTACCGCCGCAGAGGAAAACAACACTATTGAGGCGATAGTGTTGTATCAGAGAGGACAGGTAGAAGTGGAGTCGTGTAAGGCCCTGGTCACGGAGATGAGCACGTCCTTCATGTCCGTCACCATTAACCATCATATTGATCCCAGACTGGTAACCCTTAGCGATGAGGCGATGGGGAAGATCGTAATCGAGAGACAACGACGTCGTTTTCCTGGTGATCTTGATTACCTCACCGTACCTTTGTCAGAGCGTCGTGTGAAAGAAATAGGGAAGTTTAACGTAAAGACTCTGTCAGATAAAACTAATTGTTTGATACGTGGGGTTGTGTACCTTCCTTATAAACAGATAATACTTAGTGATTTCAACAACCAGAAGCTGAAGCTGTTTACAGACAAAGGACAGTACCTGGACGAGTTGACCATTCGTGGAGATCCCTGTGATCTGTGTCTGGTAAACAACAATACCGTGGCGGTCGCTGTCACCAGTCCTGGTGGTGTCCGTGTCGTGAAAGTCGAGGATTCAAAACTCTCCCTGTCGTCTGAGATCAACATGCCTAATGGTAAAGACTGTTTTGGTATAACACATACAGACGGGAGGTTTATTGTGGGTACAGATGGAGAAGACGTATACAGTGTGACTCAGGACGGAGCGACAGAGTTATTATATAAGTATAACTATATCTGTCATTGCCTCACACATGATCCAGTAAAGGGAGACACACTCGTCAGTGTCAGTAACATCAAACGTCACACGGATGTGATGAAGGTCGGTGTCGTGAGGGATGTAACGGGAATAGACGTGGACAGGGAGGGTAACATCTACGTGTGTGGTTATAGTTCACGCACCTTTGTACAGATGTCTGGGGACGGGACACGCGTCAGGGAACTGCTGACGTCATCAGAGGGAATCTACTCTCCACGGGCAATATGTATTCGTGGCGACACGTTTGTGGTCACTTCTGTATGTTTTAAAGACCAGGATAATTATGTTCGAGTCTTTCAACTCTACTAAACATTGTACAGATAAACACACGGATGGGTTGATCACGTGATGTGTATATATATCATAATAGTCACATAATTATTACAAACGCTGAAACATTGAGAAGTCACCATGTTTGTGTACGATTTAATTTTGAAACTATACATTCAATATTACGTAACGTAAATAAACAGTGAAGGAGAAACTTGTGAAATAACTTTATAATACACAAAGGAGTTTTATTATTAAATCTTATTCATTTTCATTATATTTTTGTTTTTTGGATGCTGTGTACAGCATTTATAACGGTCCTCGCCAAGCCTGAACAAATCAAAACCAAACAACAGACTTTATTCTTCCCTTCCGCGGCATATCTTTAAGTGCTGTGTTGATTATTTCATGGTATGATTAATGCTATGAAATGATGAAATACATATGAAAACGATCAATAAATCAAAGAAAAAATGTTAAAATTTACGAAAAGGCGAGGTTTTTTTCAGTGAGTATCATGAACTATATCAATCTCGAATTATTACGCTTTTTGGACCGAATAATTTCTTCAAAAAAACAACCAAACAACACTATCTCCTTCCGCGAAAGATCTTTAGATAATGTGCTCATTATTTTATGATATGATCAATGCTATAATATGGTAAGATTTATCTGTATCAGACAAAAAAGGTCAAAGAAAATATGTAAAGATCTTTAACAGTGGCGTTTTTTTATCTATGAATGACTACGCCTCGTATTCCAATACTCTAAAGGTGTGTGTGTAAGAGTTTTCTCCCCTTGTTTATCATTGCGTAGTTTCATGCTCGCGACTTGAACGTTCCATAATAATTTGATTAATTTATAGACAGAGGTATTAACACGATACTATAATTTAATATATTTACTTCGTAGTTCGCTGAAGGAGGGGCATTTTAGAATGAAGTGGAATTCGTCTTCTATATCATTTTTACAGAAAGGACAAAGTCTTAAATTATGAGGATTTTTTCTATGCCTTCCAGTTTCTATTAAAAGATTGAGTGAAGACAGTCGTATTTTGACAATTGTTTTTTTTTCTTTACATAAATAGGTTTACTTAAGTAAGGTTGAAGGCAGGCATGATCAATACTATGTTGATACACCCTGCATTTAGAGGAGGTGGAGAACAACGTCTCACAGTCTTGTTTTAAAATATCTAACAATCTCTGTTTTGCTAAAACCAAAAAATGATGTGTATTAAAGCTACACTGTGCTTGCCAGAACTCCGACATACCAATAGAACAGAGTTCTTGTTTAACAGAAGCCACCCAATTTTTACAATGTGGGTTCGATATTGTACATATCTTGATAACATGCATTTAAAATACAGTTGCTAGAAGTCAATAGTTTACACCAGTACTTTAAAATTATAATTTCCCTCGAAATGATAAGAGGATGTCTACCCAGTTCGAAATATATCATTGCGTTTGGTGTAGATTTTCGAAATCCTGAAATATTCTTAAAAAAGTCTAGATGTAGTTGTTCGATATCAGGCGCTTTGTGTAAACCCCACACCTCGCAAGCATATATAGTTGCCAACATATGCCTCAAAAAGTGACAAGAGTGTGCAGAAATTTAACACCTAGACTTACATGATCTTTAAGAGAAAACTGAGCTTTCCTACCCTGTGACGCTAATTGTTTCTGCGTTATATTAAATTACCATTATAATTGAGTTTTACCCCCAAATAAGAAAAAGAATTTACAGACTCAAGTGTGACACCATCATACTGCCATGTTTCATTTGCATGTAATACAGCCGATTTTCTGAAAACAACATTTTTTGTTTTTTCAATGTTAACTGTTAGAGACCATCTCCTAGTTAGCTCACCGGGCCCGAAGGGCCAAGTGAGCTTATGGCATGGTGTGGTGTCCGTCGTCCGTCCGGCGTCAACTTTTTACTTTAAACAACTTCTTCTCAGTAACCAAAAGGCCTATTTTCAAGGTCACAGGGGTCAAATATGTAAAAATCTTTAATCAACTTCTTCTGAATATTGGCCAGTAACATGCTGGGATGAAAGGCTACCAAGTTTATTCAAATAAATGACCTTGACTTATAGTCAAGGTCACTGGGGTCAAATATGTTTAAAATATTTCAACAACTTCTTCTGAATAACCAAGAGACCTAGAGTGATGATATTTGGCCAGTAACATGCTGTGATGAAGGGCTACCAAGTCTGTTCAAATAAATGACATTGATTTATATTCAAGGTCACAGGGGTCAAATATGTTTAAAACCTTTCAACAACTTCTTCTGAATAACTGAGAGGCATAGGGTGATGGTATTTGGCTAGTAGCATGCTGGGATAAAGGGCTACAAAGTTTGTTCAAATGAATGACCTTCATCTTTTTTCAAGGTCACATGGGTCAAATATGTTTAAAACATTTAAACAACTTCTGAATAACCAAGAGGCCTAGGGTGATGATATTTGGCTAGTAGCATGCTAAGATGAAGGGCTACAAAGTTTGTTCAAATGAATGACCTTCATCTTTTTTCAAGGTCACAGGGGTCAAATATGTTTTTAACCTTTAAACAACTTCTTCTGAATAACCAAGAGGCCTAGTATAACATGCTGGGAAGGACCACCAAGTTTGTTCAAATTAATGACCTTGACATATATATTCAAGGTCACAGGGGTCAAATATGTTTAAAACAATTGAATGACTTCTTCTTAATAAGCAAAAGGCCAAGAGTGATGATATTTGGCCATTAACATGCTGGGATGAAGGACTACCAAGTGAATGACCTTCACACATATTCAAGGTCACAGTGGTCAATATATGTTTAAATCTTTAAATGATTTGTTCTGTATAACCAAAGGGTCCAGGGTAATGATATTTTGCCAGAAGCATGCTTGGTTGAAAGACTATAAAACTCTGTTCAAACTAATGTCCTTGTTCGACATTCAAGGTCACAGGCGTTATGTATTTAAATCTTTTAATAGGTTCTTATGAATCAAACACTGATATTCTGCCTGTAGCTGTATTTTAGTCCACTTTTAAGATTACAAGTGTGAGATTAATACCAGGTGAGCGATGCAGGCCCATTGGGCCTCTTGTATATATATAATAACAATTCATCTAACATGTGTTGTAGGCCGTTGTACTGAGAACTAATTCAGCTTTAAATTCTGTTTCTTTATTTCGTAGTTCTTTGTAGTGCCATCCGGAGATGGAGTAAAACTGTAATATACAAACACACATTCTTACCAACATGATAGAGTAAGCTTATAAAAACTGAACGAGAAATTAGATAAATTCAACTTAATTTGACATGTCGTGTATGACAAATGTACAATATTATTTAATATTAATGACTAGAAGAAACATGTAAAACATATTTATCAATAGTTACCCTATTCGTTGCCGCATATGTAAACATCTCTCTATGTATGGTAATACCATGTGTTTCTAAAATGGCGTCTGCTAAAGATCTGAGACAATTCTAAACTGCGGACGGTAATGTCCGGAAAGGCGTATAAAATAATAACCTACTCGACCGGATAGATAAATCCGATAAATCCGGAAAATATCGATGTACTACATACATATTACATTTGCTGGGGTGAACCCAATACTTGATATTTATGTATTCTTCAAATAAATCACTACTTAAAATAAATGTTCTTTTTTGTAACATGACAGCCGTCAACATTTTCCGAGAAAAGCACCATATCGTCGGCGTACATTAGTGAAAAGTAACGACAACTCTTGTAGTTCTAAAGGTTGAACACCACTGTTGCGGAATTCCATCTCACAGTCGTTTACAAACATACTAAATAAAATCGGGGACCCAATTTCCCCTTGTAAGACCCCGGTTTTGTTATCGAAAAAATCTGATAACTTCCTATCTACGGTTACACTTGATTTGATTTTATTATACAAAGATTTGATCACATTTAAAAGCTTACCCCTGACTCCAAGTTTAGAAATCTTATACCATAACGTATATCTCTCTACCGTATCAAAAGTCTTACTTTAGTCTACGAAGCATCAGTAAAGTCTTTTCTTACTAGAAAGGGACTTGTTGATAATAGAGTGAAGGACAAACATGGCATCTACCGTACCTAAGCCAGGGCGAAAACCAAACTGGGCATCCGTAACTATGTTGTAACTGTCAGTCCATTGGACTAATCTGGTGTTCAAAACACAAGTAAATAATTTTAGCATGTTACTAAGCAGGCTTATTCCACGGTAGTTGTCCGGATTTGACGTGTCACCTTTTTTGAAAATAGGGACAATTAAGGCATTAGATAAAGCTTTTGGAAAATAACCGACCTCCAGTATAGCATTGAACATCTTATGTAAAATAGGAACAAAAACCTGTTTGAACTCTATAAGATACTCGTTAAGAATTCCGTCAGTGCCATGACTTTTTTCTCTTTTCAACTTTTTAATAGCTGACTCTATCTTCTTCTAGAATTTCGGAATCTAGTTCCTCAAATAAAGTACTTGAATCATGATTCTCCCGTATATCACATCCTTCCTTCACCAGAAGGAATTGTTAAATTTTGAAATGATGATAAAAATCGTCTTTACTGACATTAGGCTTGATTTTGGAACCTTTTCTGAATTTCTTGTAAAACCACTTAGGGTTATGAACTTGATATACTCCATCATATCACACTGCACGTTCAAGTAGGAACGTTTTATTCTACGCTCTGTTACCTTATAAGCCCGCTTACTAGAAACAAGCCGCTCATGATTAACACTCGACGGATCAGCCTTAAAATGTTTCAAAGCCCGGCTATAACGCCTATACAAAAATGTACAGTTATCACCAAACCAAAGTTTGTCGTTAGACTGCTTCGGGCCTTGGCTAAAATCTTGCCTCGCAACGTTGGGAGGATTGGTGGAATTGAGCGGGGTCATAAGGTCAGAGATGACGTCAATAAAACCAGAAAAACAATCTTCAATACCTTGACTATTAGTCAAACCATTGTCCACAACTAGACTCTCAAAAATATGAAGACTATTGGCTACTACAGCATGACTCTCTCTGGAATTAAGAGTATTCCCACGGAACAACTTGTGGCTACCACTAACATGTGAATCAAAATTTGTTATTTCAGTTCCATATTTGCGTTTTTACATTTGATAACAAAGTGCAAAGGCGCGTGGTCAGAAAAGGTGTTAAAACTACATGTAATCAACTTGGTAATACATGAAAAAAAATCTGTCGTTGTTACAATATAATCAACGACGCTACAGCCCGTAGGGCCACAGTACGTATACCCATTAGAAAAACCGTCCGGGTGTCGTCCATTCAATGCGCAAGGGCAATTCTTCGTCCGACACGTACTCACTTATAGCAGAAAACCTATCCGCTACATCAGATATTAAAATCTGAAAATTGTATTATATCAACTTCCTATAGATTTTTATTACAATGTTGTAGTAGAAATGATTTCAACTGGGCTAAAGCAGTATGAGATGAATTGAATAATCTAGGTCTTAGTGATGTTTGGTTAAATCCATGTGTTTCTCAGCAAAATTTGTTATTACCTTTGATAAAACAAAGAATTTTTGATCAAGACATACCATTCCTAAGGGCCACAGTGCAAAACTCGCCTACATGTTTATTGTATAAATATATAATAGATTTTTATATTACATTTTTACCTCACAAAATATATACCAAAGAAATATCGCATTTGTTTAACTCGAATCCGTACATCTACCCATTCTTTGGCTACAGAAGTTGGAAGGTATAATAATATACCTAGAGAACGTAGATATTGTTCACAGTGTAACTCCCCCTCTGAAGTAGAGGACGAATTTCATTTTTTATTGGTCTGTTCTAAATTCCAAAATCTCAAATCTCGTTTTATCAAAAGCTATTATTGGAAAAAAACATCTGTGTTTAAAGTCGCTCCGTTATTGAGTGTCCATAATATTAAAGAATTTCTTTCAAAAGTATTTTATTGACAATACATATATAATACAAACATATAAGTTAACATTAAAGAAGATATTAGAACAGTATTGACAAAAGAATAAGA